CTGTCTAGTGAACCCCAGCTCCACCACTCCTGTTGTCTTACTTTGTCATTCAAAGTCATTTGCACTGGGACCACAGAAGACAGTGCCCTTCTGCATGGCTTTAAGAAAAAAATAAAGCTTGGACTCCTTGATTTGTAGCCAGGCGTCATGCTAAGTAATGAAATATATTTCTGTTTCTGGACATAGATCACATCTTGTTTTTCTGAGGAAATCCAATTGTTTACATACGTGATTAATCACACAGTTCATCACAGTATCCTCCCGAGGTTCTCTATATCCTTGGAAATGGCAGAAGGAATGACGAATGATTCATTAATCAATTAGATACAAACATGTTAGTCGCATGCTATATGCCAAGTGCCTCGCAAAAAACAAAGAAGGAAGGCAACTCATATTTATTACACGCTTAATATGTGCTAGGAACCTGTGCTAAGTTCCTGAATACATCATCTGTTTTGTTTTTTTTAAATAATCTTCAAAGTTACCCTAGAGGTAATAGTATAGCATAGCCAGCCCATCTTACAGCTGGGGAAATCAAGGCTCAGAGAGCTTGAGTGACTTTCCCAAAAACACACAATGAGTGTGTGACTGAGCTAAGGCTGCAGACCCAGACCTTTCTGACTCTAAAGCCCAGGCTTTGTCCATCCCACTTGGCCCGGACCTGCATCAATGAGCCAGCAGTCTGAAAGAAGAGAGAGGGAGACTGCACAAAAACTCTCGTATTAAGATATGTCCTCGGCTGGGCTCAGTGGCTCAGCCTGTCATCCCAGCACTTTGGAAGGCCGAGGCAAGTGGATTGCCTGAGTCCGCGGGTTCGGGACCCGCCCGGGCAACTTGGCGAGAGCTCATCTCTACAATAAATCAAAAATTAGCCAGGAGTGGTAGCGCACGCCTGTAGTTCCAGCTACTTGAAAGGCTGAGGCAGAAGGATCGCCCAAACCCCGCAGGTCAAGGCTGCAGTGGCCGGGAGCATGCCACTGCACTCCAGTCTGGGCGACAGAGTGAGACTCCAGCTCAAAAAATAAAAAAATTAAAAATAATAATAAAAAATAAAAGATATGTCCTCGTTTTTAGGGAACTTTATAGCAGTTCTCTCTAGGGAACCTAGGTAGAAGAATATTAAGCCTGCAAGATACTGAATTATGTTTTAAACAGTATAGGTCTCCGAAAGAAGGAGACTGAAGAAACCACCAAAGAAGCCGGGTGCAGTGGCTCACGCCTGTAATCCTAGCACTTTTGGGAGGTGGAGGCAAGAGGATTGCCAGAGTCCAGCATGGGCAATGTGACGAGACCTCATATCTGCAATAAATCAAAATATTAGCCAGGCATGGTGGCGCACGCCTGTGGTTCCAGCCACTTGGAAAGCTGAGGCGGAAGGATCACCTGAGCCTAGCAGGTTGAGGCTGTGGTGGCCGTGAGCATGCCACTGCACTCCAGTCTGGGTGACAGAGTGAGACTCTGACTCAAAGAAAATAAAAAGCCACCATAGGAATATGGTAGGTACAGTGTTATGTGGTTTTAAGAATGAGGATTGACTGCCAAAACAGATTATCTTAAGAATGAGGTTAAAGGTCAAAATTTGCCAGAAAAATCAATGGGTAACAGATAGGAAACATGAACGTGGTTTGTCTGCTCATGCTGTCATAAAATAGTAGTATCTTATTAAGGCCTTATTACTGTATCTTATTGTATACCTTATCTTCATTTAACTTTCATAATAATTATATGAAAGACTGTTATGATCCCAATTTTACAAGTGAGGAGACCAAGAAGTAAAAAAAAGAAAGCTAGCTTACATTCAAAGGCTAGTAGCACTCAGCTCAGGGTTTTATTGTGTGTCCCTCTCAGACAATAATACATCAAAGCTACTATTCTTGTGTTTTGGGAAGAAAAAAGAAAGTCTGTGTAAGGATTAATTAAATAGCAACTCATCATAGAAGAGAGCTACTGAGGTCTGGATTTTTTTTCTCTTAAGCTTCTTCATATTATTTCTGGGCATATCCATTTTCTATAGAGGGCTAAGTCAAATATGTTGTTCGTTTGCTTAGGAAAGATAATCCTGCCAGGCGCGGTGGCTCACACCTGTAATCTCAGCTCTTTGGGAGGTGGTGGCGAGAGGATTGCCTGAGCCTAGGGGTTTGAGACCCGCATGGGCAACTTGGCAAGCCCTCATCTCTTCAATAAATCAAAAAATTAGCCAGGGATGGTGGCGCACATCTGTGGTTCCAGCTACTTGAAAGGCTGAGGCATAAGGATCGCCTAAGCCCAGCAGGTAGAGGCTGCAGTGGCCATGAGTGTGCCACTGCACTCAAGCCTGGCCGACAAGAGTGAGACTCCAACTCATAAAAATAAAAAGAGATGTCCAGTCAAGTCTGCATCATGTCATAATAGGATTACATATGAAAAAAGTTATAGTACAGCCAGAGAATAAACAATAAGCACCAAATGAGTGCAGAAAAGCCGGTGTTATGGTAGTTTGTAGGAGGAAGAGATCAGCCGCCACCACGAAGGTCAAGAAAGACAAAGAGAGATGATTAAGGAAGGTTTTCAGTTGTACAGATCTGGACTCGAATCCATCTGGATGACCTTGAACAAGTTATTTGACTTCTCTCAGTCCAGTTTCTTCGTCTATGAAATGAGAATTTTGAGATTAAATAATAAATGTACCAGGGAGACCCAAAAAACACTGGAATTGTCTTGGGGGGGGCGGGCCCCTTATAATACACTTGGGTTTTGTTCCTCCAGATCAAATGGTTAACCAAAGTTTTTATCTGGAAGTATAGAGAAGGTTATATCATGATTTGCAGAAGAAACGCCCCAAGTTGTGGCAAAAAGGTGACTAGTTCTTCCACCATCCCAGTGCCCCTGCCTGTATTGTGCTGTGTGTTCAGCAGTTTTTGACCCAAAAGAGCAAGATCCCTATTCACGCTATCTCGCCCAGAGCGACTGTTTTTTGTTTCCTGGATGAAAAAACAGCCCCAAGGGGAAACATTTTGCCAGTGTGGAAGAGATGAAACAAAAAATGGCAGAAGTACTAGAAAGCATCCAGATGGACAAGTTAAAAAATGTCTTTTGAGCAGTGGAAGAAGCATCTTGATAGATGGGTTGCATCAAACGGAGAGTACTTTGAGGGTAGCTGAAGTTTAAGCATGTGAGAATAAATATGCAATTTTTTATAAATAAATTCTGGGTTTGGGGGAGTTCCCCTCGTAAAATGTGTAGCGTGGCGCCATGTTTTTTCTTATTGTGATGTAATTGTCTGTCTGTCAGTTTCCTCCATTAGACTGTAATCGCTTGGAAAACTGGGTCTATGTCCTGTTCTTTTTGGTATATCTCCACCTTTCATATAGTGCTTGAGGTCATTCCCGTTTCTGACGTTTCCTTCTTTCTTCTCTCCAACTTTGACATAATCCACACTAGAAGTGAATGATTTACCTGATAGGTGAGTCAGGAAGGGTTTACTGTGTGCCACGCGTTACTTTCTCTCAGGAATGGATTTCCCACAGGAAGCATGCAATCTCCATACCGTAAGTCTACTGTCCAATGCCACCAAGACTGAGTGGGCAAGTCTGCCTAGTAATATAGAGCACATGCCCACACAAATACTGAAGAATAAAAGGAAACCTGGCTGGAAAGGAAGATTAGAACAAGACTGTGGAAAAGATCATGTTCTATCTACCTTGCTGGCTTAACAGTTCAGCAGATTCCTTAAAAACGTGTGGGTATTGGTAAAGAATGGAAAGAGTGTACACATGGCTCAGCCCGCGATAATATTTGCTTTTGTTTTTAGTGTTGGGATGTTTTGTTGTTTGGAGGAAGAAGATGTTTTTTAAGGATTTTGCTTTGGTTGTGTTGAGGCAGCAAGGATGAGGTATCAATAGTTTAAATTTGGTACGGTGTTCGTTTCTGTATTATTTCTAAGTTATTTTATATTAAGGTACTAATCTGCTCATCATTTGAAGAATAGATCTGCTAAGTAAGTTTTTCTCCAGTTGTGGTCTGGGGACTCTCTGCCTCAGATTTATCAGGAGGTCGGTCTTTCAAAATACAAGTTCCTATGCCTCAGCCCAAATCGACTAAACCAGAATCCCAAGGGGTGATGTGATTTTATCATTCTCCCCAGGTGACTTTTATGGCTGTTGTATTTAGGGGCAGCAACTGGCAACAAACAGGTGAATTCAGTTTCAATATACATGGAAGAGCACTGTGTGTGTGTGTGTGTGTGTGTGTGTGTGTGTGTGTGTGTGTGTGTGTGTTTATTGCTAAGTCACATTATTGACCATTCTGATGATGGCTATGGTCCTTTCCTATAGTCCAAGGCAGCCCTTCTTACTCAACCAAAAACATCATCAAAACCTCTGCTGGGTCTTTTATATATGTGGCCATTTTACATCTTACTGATAGGTCTTATGAACAAAAACCAGAAAATTAATAGCTTTAGAACCTTCAAAAGAAAAATAGAGAGAGGCTAAGTGTGGTGGCTCAAGCCTGTAATCCCAGCACTTTGGGAGACTGCGGTGAGAGGATTGCCTGAGCCCACGGGTTCGAGACCAGCCAGGGCAACTTGGCAAGACCTCATCTCTACAATAAAAAAAAAAAAAAAATTAGCCGAGTGTGGTCGTGCATGCCTGTAGTTCCGGCTACTTAGAAAGCTGAGGTGGAAGGTTCGCCTGAGCCCAGCGGGTCAATGCTGGGATGGCCATGAGCGTGCCCTGCACTCCAGCCCGGGCGACGGAGTATGACTCCAATTCAAAAAAAAGAGAGAGAGAGAGACAAGCTCATACTTTAAATCAAGAAGAATCCTTGCAATTCTTCCAAAGATTCATTGCTGAATCAGGTTTCCCTCTTCTGCTTCTAAGTAACTGGAGGTAGCAGACAGGATCTAGAAACAGAAGAATGGTCTAAAGAACCGGTGGCAAGTTTGTGCCCCACCATGCTGTCTTCCCTGCTTGAAAGTGTCGGAGACACTCTACTTAGGCTTGCTTTGTTTCTCTTTATAGATCATGCAACAGATGAGTGACCACCGCTATGACAAACTCACCGTACCTGATGACACAGCAGCAAACTGTATATACCTAAACATCCCCAGCAAAGGTCACGTCTTACTGCATCGAACCCTAGAAGAGTATCCAGAAAGTGCAAAGGTAAAAAATAAAAGCATCCCTCCTGGCCACTGCAGCTAGGCAGGCCTCCCTGGGGATTCATTCATGGTAGAGTGACTAACAGGAGCTTCCTTTTCCTCTGTACATGTCACATCATGAAGAAAGCAGAAAGAATCATATCATTCAGGGCACAAGGAAAATTTCTTGAACTCATTTTTCTCATTCATGTCATTGGTCACTAATGCATGCACGGTAATTGAGACAATCGTGCCTGGTATTCAAAGCTTTTCAAATAAGTACTCTGATCACTCAACTCTGTGCCCCAGCTCTGATTAGATGTACCTTCCCACACTCAGATACTCATTAAGCATAAAGACCTACAGTTAGATGGTCAGCTGTGTTCTTGTTGTCGACAGATCTGAGCTGCCCCTCAGAAAGGGTCGTTTGTTTCTTGAGGCAGAGAAGAATGAATGACCCAGAGTGGGGGGGTGCTCATTGTCAGGTCTGCAAAAAGAGGTGACCGCACATCACCGGGAGCAAAAAGCTCTTTGTTGAAAAGATAGCGTAGGAAGAAATACCTCTTGGAGTCAGCCAATGGATCCCTCCAACAGTCTCTGCATTTGGGTTCCAATAAGGCAGTTGCCCTTGGAGCTGGAATTCTTTCCCGGTCGAAGGAAGTCTCCCTTGTCCTCGGAGCTGTCTCATCTGAATACTTCAATCATTTCCATTTGTCCCTACTAAGCAGATATAACAGAGCTCATCCATAGACTCGTCAAGTATCCATGACTTCTAGGCCCTTCATCTAGCATCTTCATTTCTGCCCAGAAGAACGTGATACGGATGCTAGCCATTACAGAAGAGACTTTGTTTTTCATCTTAAGTTTTGCAAATATTAGAAAGTATTTTGTGCCACCTTTAAAATATGTAATACTATGTAATTACTAGGTTTACCCTCTAATCACAGCCTACTTCTAAGCAGATAAAAAGAAAAGGGTGGGGGGGAATAATAGAAAATGTCTCTATTTCCATAGCTGAAAGTATGAACCTGAGGAAAATAGGGATTCTGAGGTCAGCTTAGGGCTCGACCAGTTCTCAGTTGAATAGTGGATCTCATACTTTAATGTGAATCAAAGTTGTTATATATATATATATATATATATATATATATATAGGTTCCTGGACCCCACCTTAGAACCTGCAATGTCAACAAGCACCCGGGTCACAGAACCCACTTTGAGAAATCCAGGTTTGGATTGTTCGTGTGCTCTTCAGCCACACGGATCAACTGCTCACCCTAGGCTCATTCACTGCTTCCCAGTTCAGCCCTGCACCTGTCAACAATAATGATACCGTTAATAACATCCCTGTCTACTGAGGACTTCCCCTGTGCCAGGCATTGCGCTGAGCATGCTGGGTGTTTTATCTTATTTAATCCTTATAACAGCCCTACAGGGGCAGTATTACCATGACAGTCTTACAGAGAAGGAAACTGAGGCTCAGAGGGAATGTCACTTGACTGAAATAGTACTTTAATAGCAGCTTGACAGAATTGGGTTTGGGACCTTACCGTCTCTGGTTCCAGAATTTTTAATTAACCGCTGTGCTGAATTTTAAGGAGCACAGTGCTTCCTAAAAAAAAAAAAAGCACAGAGTATTTTTAAGCAGTGCATATTCTCATGATTTTGTTTTTTAAAACGTGCTTTGTTTGATCATCAGAGAAAAATCTATGGACTGTTCATTTGAAGTTTTGACACATGCTTTCTATTCGCGTCGAAACATGCTAATAAAATGCACACCTGGACTTTAAAAGCAGTTGGACCTGAAATACTTTACTTAAATTATATTTTGTCAGATTTTTCCAGTGGTGTTGGTAAGGAAGGAAACATTATAGTTGAGAGGGTTTTAAAACAAAGAGAGAATAATATTCAGACTGGACACACAGCCACTGACATTCATGTGATGCTCCTCTGGCAATGACAGTGGCCGAATAAAGACATCTCTAGCCACAACTATATTTCGGACATGTCGTTGGCCTTGAGGTTAAAGCATTAGAGCTAGTGATTAACCTATGGCTACCAGCTCCGTGGGAATGAGCGTGGGCATGTGTGTGGCCGAGATTGCCCCTGTGTCTTGGGAGTCAAAGAGTGAAAAGCCTAGATGCACAAACTAAATTGATTCTCTCCACCTGGGGCCGGTAAACCAGGCAGAAACGTAACCCTTCTCCTCTTCCTTTCCCTCGCTTCTCGCTGCAGGTTTATGAGAAACTGAAGGACCATATGCTGATCCCTGTAAGCAATTCTGAACTGGAAAAGGTGGACGGGCTGCTCACCTGCTGCTCAGTTTTCATTAACAAGAAGATAGACTCCTGAGCTGCAGAGTCCTCCCCCTGGCAGCCGGCAAGATGGCACAGGCGAGGCCGATGACTCTGTCCCCTTCCCATTGTTTTCCTTGACAATCTACTGTGCCACTGTGCTACTAACTCTTGTTTACAAAAATTGAATTCTAAGTTTAATTGCTTCATTCTGCACCCCCTCTCCCTCCCTCACTCCCTCCCCCCACGGTGGTACCTAAGCTGTGGATTTGCTAAATGAATTAAGCAATCTAGAAAATATAGAAACTAATGAATTATTGAAATGTGATTAATAATAGTACGGAAACACTTGTTTTGGTGTCTGTATCCTCGGTGTGAAAATTGCTTAGTTGCCAATATATTCCGAAGAATGTCTTCTTGATCAGTCAGATAAGCTTGGTTTTCTTTTTTTCTCTATATCATGAATCATGTTTGATTCTTGTGAAATTCCCTGATCCGGGGAATCTCCCCTTTTCTCTCATTTTTATTCCGAACTCTGAAAGCGTTTTACCTAGTTACTTTCTTGTATCTTCCCCACTTCTATCCAGCCACCTTGACCTTGGGTAAAAATCCAAGGTCTTGCCTTCCAGATACCTTCCTGTAGGTCCAGCCTCTCTGCCACTGGTCTCCTCTGCCCCAGACTACACCTGTCACTACCAGCCCTCCCCTTAACCCCCACCAGGGGCAGAATCGTGACAAAATCAGAGCTGCTGTTTGGGGAAGTGTGAACCACACAGAGGCACATCCTGACGGGCTTTGCCCCAGAGATCTAAATTCCAGAAGAAGTAGGGCACCACACCTTGGAAGGCAAATTTAGCGCCGGTAGCGCCGGAAGGTTGCTAAGAGATCACAGATCAAGAAGCTTGGAAACACCCCATGGGTACAATGTCTTAGAAAGTCTTGAAGTCACATTCCATGAATTCTTGCTTCATTGCTGGCCATATATGACCTTGGAGGACCTTTTTTTTTTAATCCTTTGGTTCTTTTATATTTCCTCTTTTCTGACTCACCCTATTTCCTATGTATCCTGGTCTAGCAAAGTCAATTCTTTCAAAAGAGGCATTGGATCTAAAAACAATTACTGGTAGTCTGGTGTGAACGAGAGGGAACAGCTCCTTATGGTCAAGGATCAAGTTCAGGAAGTGTTCGACTTGATGCTTGAAACCAACCGTAGACAATGGACAATTCTACCGTGAAATATCCATGAATATTCACTGTGGAATTTAGTGAAAAATTCTCTCTTCTCTAGCCTTCAAATTACACAACTTCCAACTGGTATAGGTCTCTTACAAAGAACAATGCCACACCGAAGGAAGAGAGAGTTCTTTTACCTAACCCCGGAAGAGTCTGTCTATGAGCAGGCCAGGAAGACGGTACTTTCCAAGGAATGGTGGCTGTTGTAGGCCTGTCATCAGCTTCCTAGTCATCCTCACCTTTCCTGCATTGCCTGTGGCTTGTTGTTTAAGATTAGGAATCTGGGACATTAAGGAATTTAGCTTCAGGTCTTGCTCTAATCATCTTTATATTTACAGTCAAACATTTTGTATGTTGGTGACCAAGAGAGAATTGCTTTATTCATTCCCCCCGCCCAGACATGGAAGTGAGGAAGCTCTGAGAAAATCAAGGCCTCTTTAACCACCATCTGTCTTTCTCATTTATTGGACAGTTTTATACCAGAAATTTGAAAAAGTTCCTTCTCCTCCTTCTCTTCCTGGTTGCTTAACTTTCAAACATCTATCACATGCAAATATCTAATCACGCGCATGCCATGAATGAACCACGTCTTGGTCACTGTCATATTTCGAACCACCTCACCGTGGATGAATCAAATCTCCTTGCCAGAGAGAGAATGAGTGTTAGCCACATGCTCAGGTTAACAAAGACAAATTGTTCTTGGCAGCCATGGCTGCCCTTTTGGATTAAATCTGGCCCTGCGCTGACAAAAGCAGAAATTCCCCCTGTGAGAGCTCAACATCTCAAAAACAACCAGAGGGGAAATGGCCCAATCAGCCGGTTTAGGTTTCCTGGCATATGCTTTTTAATATCTTTACTTTTAACATCCCAAATCAAAGAACTGTTCTCTGTTATGTTTAGTCTACTGCAAATGGATAGATTTTTTTCTTTGTAATAATTGGTCCTGCACAAGCCTGTTGTTAACATTCCCTTTCCTTTGCTTCTTTCTATCTTTTCTTCTCTTTGTCTTGAGAAATCACTTCGATTCTGATTCCATGTGCCTCTTCTGCATTTTATTCTGCACTGCTCCTTTACCTACCAGGCTGGCTCCTTTGAACTCCCTATGTGATAGGATGGTGTGAAAACCCAAATTACATGCAGCATGGTAGTATCACCTCTTTGATGTTCTCATTAGCATAATATTATCTTTGAAAAGGAAAGCTACCTTTCCGTAGGCCTGTCTCTTGTCCATTGTGACTTATAAGGATAGATAAACTAACAGAAGCTGCTTTTTGACATTATAAAGGCATGAGGAATTCTATTTTAAGCAAGTCAAAGTTAAGTAAGCCAGAATTATTGCTTGACATGATTCACTTTAATGAAAGGATGATATAGAGAAAATACATTATTTAGCTTTATTTCTTCAACTAGAATGAACTGCTATAGAAGCCAGCAGGCAGATCTTGCGAATGTGTATTGGTTGTTCTTTTAAGCTACTGTGAACAGATTACTAAGGTCATCTCTTCATCTCCAAGGAGGGAAAATAGTCTGTAGATGAATAATGTGAGATAAAGAGTTGCATGTTAGTCTCTGTAATTATTTACTCTTTAACATTCTACAGAACTCAGACATGATTTCAACATGGTGTTAGATGTATGCGTTTTATTTTCCTGACCACCTCGTTCCAGCCAATGTATAGTTCTCTGCTGTGTGTGCCAAAACCAGTCATGCCTTTCGCGGCCTTTTAGTCCAGAGGAGTTCTGCACAGATTTTTAGTCTCTTGCTGTCCCAAGCCTCTATGTACGCCAATCATGATGGAATAAAGTTTGAGTTGTACTGTGGTCAACAGTGTATGTCTCTTTTTTGCAATAGAAACTGCCATGGGGAATGAAGTCATCGTTTCTTTATTATCAGGCATGGGATGTTTTCTCTCTTGCCCAATAAGCTATGAAAATAGAAATGTGGTAGCTGTAAATCAACTGCCATCAAAGCTTGGGTGAAAATGATATTGTGACATGAGATTGCATACTTCAAACATTTAAGAAGAATGCATATCAGCCAGGCATGATGGCTCATACTTATAATCCCAGCACTTTGGGAGGCTGAGGCAAGATTATCATTGAGGCCAGAAGTTCGATACCAACCTGGGCAACATAGTGAGACCCCGTCTCCACAAAACAATTTTTTAAAAATACCCAGGTACAGTCAGGCTCGGTGGCTCAGCCTGTAATCCTGCGCCTTTGGGAGGTTGAGGTGAGTGGATTGCCTGAGCCCGCAGGTTCGAGACCCGCCTGGGCAACTTGGCGAGACCTCATCTCTACAATAAATCAAAAATTAGCCGGGTGTAGTAGCACACGCCTGTAGTTCCAGCTACTTGGAAGGCTGAGATGGAAGGATCGCCGGAGCCCCCAGCAGGTCGAGGCACTCCAGTCTGGGCGACAGAGTGAGACTCCAACTCAAAAAAAATAGCCAGGTACAGTGGTGGTGTGTGCCTGTAGTCCCAGCTACTCAGGAGGCTGAGGTGGGAGGATTGCTTGAGTCCAGGAGTTCAAGGCTGCAGTGAGCTTTGATTGCACCTCTGTCCTCCAGCCTGGGCAACAGGGCAAGATCTCATCTCTACAAAAAAAAGAAGTATGCTAATTATGCACGCTAGGTCAGAAGAGCTTGCTGTCACCTGTATTTCATACCCAGCACCCCTGCATCCCTTCAGCTGTTCACTGTTATCAGCCCAGTACACAGTTCAGTTATGGGACAGGCGAAGGGTATTTCGTCTCCATGTATGCAAGAGTTTGATTTTTATTTATCCGTTTTATGATAAGCATCCTTAAAGAAATTTGGAAGTTTTCTTAATGAGGGTTTTTATTTCCAACTATTTTTTTCAAGCTAAAAGAGCGGAATTGTTTTCTTTTTCTGCTTGTAAAAATAATAACTGCTCACTGTAAAATAAAATTTGAACAACACAAAAAACTATAAAAACAACAGTTAAAAAAACAGTAAAGAAAAAGTATACCCAAAATTTCATCACCCACAGATAACTACTATTAACATTTCAAAGAATATCCACAGATCTATAAATACATAGAAATATTGAATAATTTTATATAATCACACTGTTCTGTCATCTGCTTCCTTCACTTAGCAATATATTCTGGACATCTTTCCATCTCAATAAATATAGACCCTCATCATCAATTTCAACAATCCTGAATATTCCACAACACGGTTGTTGATTGGCTCGTGCTACATCACTCGGAGTGTTATATCACAGATGGTCAGTGTGCTCACACTGCTGTTAGCTCGGGGTCTTCAATCTATCAAAATTGTGCTGCGTAGAAGAGATGGATCAGGTTGGTGTATTCTTATCACAACTGAAAGGTACGTGTAAATGTTCACCAGATGCACAGACCAGTTACTAAAATTCCTTGGGGGTGGTCATTGATTTACTCGCCCCTTCTCAGTGGACGTTATGTTGATCAGTTCTGCATTACTTAGGTTGACATTGGCATCGGCAATGAAGCTAAAAAATGCCAGATGCCACCTGCTTTGTGTCCCTGTGGGAAATGGAACCAGCCGTCCACCCAAGTGGCACAGTACAATGCTCCTGATAGAAGACGAAGGGAGATACTTCTTGAAGGAAAAGGGGCAGGGCTTCCCTGACGGATCTTCCTCCCAGCCTCCAGAGGAAGGAGGGAAAGTATAATAAAACCAAGAAAAATATCCACTCATGACAAGCTGCAGATTCTGGAAGTGGGAGTTTTGCTGACTGAAGAGTGCTGGTCAAAAACCATGTTGGACAAGTGAGCATATATTTAGCAAGTGCCGACCGGGCTTGGTGGCTCAGCCTGTAATCCCAGCACTTTGGAGGCTAAGGTGAGTAGATTGCCTGAGCCCATAGGTTCAAGACCCACCTGGGCAGCTTGGTGAGATCTCATCTCTACAATAAATAAAAAATTAGTCGGGCGTGGTAGCATACACCTGTAGTTCCAGCTATTTGGAAGGCTGAGGCATAAGGATCACCAGAGCCCAGCAGGTCGAGGCTGTGGTGGCCGGGAGCCTGCCACTGCACTTCAGTCTGGGCAACAGAGTGAGGCTCCAATTCAAACAAAAACAAAAAAGCAAGTGCCCACATTCTGCCAGGCTCTGGAGTGCAGATCCTGTCTTTCGGGAGCTGATGGTTTGGGAGGGACAGGGAAGGATGATGACACAAGCACACAAGGGATTACAATAGAACAGAAAGGAAGAACTATCCAAGAACAATGCTATGGCTGTGCCCAAATCGGGGAGACCAGACAGAGGAGTCAGAGCTGGATCTGGGCTTGGAAGGAGGGCACTGACTTCAGTGGGTCGAGAACGGGGTGCGGCCCATCCAGGCTGGGGGAATAACAGGAGCAAAGTTATGGAGGTGGGAGAGCATAGACTGCACACCAGAAACTAGTATTTGTTGAGCACCTACTGTGTGCCAGTTAACTCCACTAGGCCCTGGGGATACAATGGCACAGTAAGTCCCCTACCTACGAACAAGTTCCATTTCGAGAGTGCATCCGTAAGTCCAATTTGTCTATAAGTCCAACAAAGTTAGCCTAAATACCCAACTAATACAGGGAAGCTCTGCCCCTTTTCCTTCAAGAATACTAACACTAATACAATACCCAACTAATACAATACAATTCTAAGTAGTACAGAATTGTAATAGGTTTATAATACTTTTCACACAAATAATACATAAAAACAACAGTACTTGTATACAACAACAGTAGAGTACACAAAAGCATAACTACTTGCAGAGAATGCACACATGCAGCAATGTACACCAGACACATGAACTAACTTACGTGACTGGACTCTGAATACACGTTTGCATCTTTGAAAGTTCACAACTTGAAGGTTCGTATGTAAGAGACTTACTGTAACAGACCCTGCTTTCCTGGAATTTATATGCAACAAGAAAGACAGACATTAAACAAGTTATGGGAAATGCAATGAACATTATGAAAGGAGAATGGGGTGCCCGGTGCAGACAGAAGGAGCAAACAAGTGGATTTATCTAGCTGAGACACGGGATAAACATAAGAGCATAGTGAGACAACATAGGTTGGAATGTCAAGGGCCTTGCCTGCTGACTTAGGGTATTTGGGACTGAATTTGGCAGTCTGTGAGGATCCCCCGAAGACTTTGGGTCAAGGAGTGGTATTATTGGAGCTTGATCTGGCAGCATTATACAGGATTACTGGGAACTGAAAAAGACGGGTGTTTCTCTAAGTTTAATTTCCCCAGGTTTAATTTGTTATTTAAACATCTCTTCTTACCACCAAAACGGAGCCTGAAAGTCAGGCCATTAAGTCTCTCTCTATTTTCTTTCCTGAAGAACAGATTAATAACACCTTCCCCTCCCAACTCCAAAGGGACATTTTCAAGGCAAATGAGATTAAAAGAACTGGAGGGTTCTTTGGAAGAAAGGTATAATGTAAATATCATTATCATCATCATTATCCTTATTAACTCCTATCACAGCAAGCTTGGCTCCCGTCAAAATGTCACCTTCTATTTGAAACATCAATCACCTACTCCAGAAATAACTCAGAATTTTCATCATTGATACCTCTGAGCCGGCCTGACAGCCTCTGTGGTGAATTCGCAGCGGACAAGTCTGCTCCACAGACGTACTAACGTTAAGAAACTGTTGGCAAATCAGAATGTTCCCCCTGCACCTTCCCCCTCCAAACTCTCCAAACACTCATTTCTAACTCAGTGAAAGCTGAGCCACTTACAGCACAAGATAACTGGGGTTATCAGGCTTTTAGGAGAATGTGTAAGTGCCAAATATGTAGCTGGCACTATAAATAAATAAGAGATTCAAACAAGTATGAACTGCTTGGTAAATATTGTCTGGGCTGACTTGTGACATGAATGCTTAGAAGCAACAATGGGTCTCCAGGTCTTGGGAGGCCCCTTCTGTTTATAAATAGAAAGCTGTGTCATTTAGCTGTGGCCATGGAGAAAAAGCCTGGGTAAATTAACACAGACCTAAGAAGGTAGCTTGCTTTTTCCTATGCCTAAGCATTCCCCTCCCAGTTTTACTGAGGTATAACTGAAAAATAAAAATGGTATAGATTTAAGGTGGACAATTTGATATACATATACATCGTGAAATAATCATCTCAATCAAGTTAATTATCATATCCATCACCTAACATAGTCTGCTTTTTTTCCTTTTTTTTTCTTTTGATGAGAGCATGTAAGATCTTTTCACTTAGCAAATTTTTTGCCTAGCAAATTTCAAGTATCTAACACAATATTGTAAACTATAATCACATTGCCATACATTAGAGCTTCAGAACTTACTCATCTTGTGTAGCTAACTCAAACTTTGTACCCTTTGACTGGCATCTCCCTATCTCCCCCTTTAAAAGTAAGTTTTAAGTTCCTATTCATGGACAAAAATGCTTATGGATTAGCTAGTACTTTGGGAAAAGAATTCAGAAGACAACTGTTCAAAATGAAACCAGAGCCCAGCATGGTGACTCATCCTTGTGATGCTAGCACTTTGGGTGGCCTAGGTGTGAGGATTGCTTGAGCCCAGGAGTTCAAGACCAGCCTGGGCAGCATAGTAAGAGCTTGTCTCTACAAGAAATAAATTAGTCAGGCATGGTGGCACATGCCTGTACTCCTAGCTACTCAGGAGGCTGAGGCAAAAAGTTCGCCTGAGCCCAAGAGGTCAAGGCTGCAGTGAGCCAAGATTATGTCACTGCACTCCAGCCTGGGCCACAGAGTGAGACCCTGACTCAAAATAAATAAATAAATAAACAAATAAACTAAGATTCTATATGTCATGTGCTGAAAG